CCCCCCATTTCCCCTCCCGTTGCCCCAAAAACCCACCCCCAAAGCCCCGCCCACCCCCCGAGGCCCCGCCCCCTCACCAATCCCCGCCCTTGCTCAGCAGCGCCGCCCTGCGGACGTTCCAGGCCGTTCCCACATCCGGGTTCGCCTCCAGCACCGCCGCCGACAGCGTCAGCAGCTCCGCGTCGTCATGGCAACGTCCCGCCTGAGCCGGAAGTACGGGAAGCAGCGGGCGGAAGTGGCGTCAGAAAGAGGCGGAAATGAGGTAAACAAAAATGGCGTCAAAAAGGGCGGAAGTAAGGGCGCATGGCAACGGAAACGGCATCAAAAAAGGGCGGAAGTGGAGTCAGCGGAAATGGCGCCAACAAAGGGCGGAAGTGATGGCACACGGCAGCGGAAATTGCATCAAAATAAGGGCGGAAGTCGATCTTGAGGGGAGAGAAGGGCGGAAGCGGGCAATCGGTACCTTCTCCAGCAGGGCGGCCATGTTGGCCCGAAAGAGGCGGAGTTTCTCCTCCCGTTGTCGGCGGCGTGCCGCGTCCGGAGGGCGGACCTTCAAACGGCCGTGCTGGGAGAGATGAAGGGAGAATGGCGGATGGCTGGGAGGGCAGAAAGGGGGCTGCAGGCCGGACTGGGAGGCGCTGGGATCTAATGGAAGGGCGGTGGGACGGAATGGGGGGTGATGGGAGGGGCGTGAGGGCACTGGGAGGAAGGGAGTTGAACTGGGAGGCACTGGGGGGGAGTTTGGGGCGCTGGGATGGGATGGAGCGGAACTGTGAGGCAACTGGGGGCCTTGGGATGAATTACAGAGCATTGAGAAGGACGGGGACGGCACTGCGGTGCAACAAGAAAGAAATAAGGGGAGGGCAGGGCGAGATGGGACGGAATGGGGTGGGACGGGAGGCAGGATGGCGAGGAGATGCGGGCAGAAAGGGAAGAAATGGCGGCGTTGCGGGCTGCGGACTCACCATGGCGACGGCAGCGGGGACAGCGGAGAGAGCCGCGCCGCGGGGCACGACGGGATGCGGGCGGGGAGCGGACGCGAGGCATTGTGGGATGCAGCGCCCCGCGTCGGGGCCGCCATGTTGTGGCGGGGAGGGAGCCGTGATTGGGTGAAGGGGCGCCGTTGTTGGGCATGCGCAGTAGTAGCTTTCGCGGGGTGTTGTGGGATATAGCGAGGCTTGCGGAGGGCGCCATTCTTCTCATACTGAGGTAAATGGGGAGCGCCGCTTTGATCAGGTGCAATGGCGCTGCTTCCCGAAGAGGGGAGATGAGGGCTGTAATGACGCGAATAAAGGACGCGGTTTGCGTCACGCACGCGTCGCTTTTGGGACGGGGATTGTGAGATATAATATGGCACGGAGAGCGCCATTTTAAGTACGCAGAATGGCGTCGCTTCCGGAACAGGTGCATTGTGGGATATAACGTGGCGAATAGAAGGCGCCGTTTTCTTTTTGTAACGCGCAATGGCGTCGCTTCCGGGAGGTGTGCATCGTGGGATATAGCGTGGCACAGGGAGTGCGCCATTTTAAACCGGCATAATGACGTCGCTTCCGGGAGGTCTGCATTGTGGGATATAGCGAGGTACACGGAGTGCGCCATTTTAAATCCGCAAAATGGCGTCGCATCCGGGAGGTCTGCATTGTGGGATATTGCGTGGCAAATGGAGAGCGCCATTTTAAATCCGCAAAATGGCGTCGCTTCCTGAGCACGAGCATTGTGGGATATAACGTGGCGAATAGAAGGCGCCATTTTGTCGCGCGCAATGGCGTCGCTTCCGGGAGGTCTGCATTGTGGGATATAGCGTGGCACATAGAGGGCGCCATTTCGCGCCGTAGCGTCACTTCCGGTGGAACGGCATTGTGGGCTATAACGTGGCTTGCGGCGGCCGCCATCTTGCTTCCGGCGTCTTGCAGCGTGGTTCCGGCTTCCCCCATCGTTTTTCCTCCATGGGGCTGCGGGGCGGTCGGGGCTCCAAGGGGGGCCCTGCGAGGTTGGAACCCGAAACGGCCGCTTATTTCCAAAGGGCTTTGGAGACCCTGC